GAATGACACGTTGGGATGGCATACCCGGGGAGGCAGCCATCTGGACATTCACCTGTGACGAAGTCACACTCAGGATCTAAGAAAGTACCATTCTGCCAGCAGTTGCTGCTGCACTCAGACATACAGTTGTTTCCGTATCTCCCGGGTTCACAGGCTGAAACAGATTTATATGTTAAAATGAGCAGAGCTCCAGAGCGTGGCCAAACGGCTACAATGTGATATTTATCTCTTTCTCATAACCACAATTGTCCTTGCTATAATCATCATCGCTTTTATCATTGTAGCCATTACAGCTTGGTCCAAAATAATCCTTGTCGTAATCGAACCACGAAGACAATTACACATTTTGATGTCGTCATCATCATCATCATCATCATCTTCATCAAGGCTGTTATCACTCAGTGGTAAAATTAATATTATCTGTTCCCACATTCACTGAATAAATATTATAATTTTATTAGGTCGGTAAACATCTATCTAGTACCTCTTTACCCAGTGACAAAATGAATTGTACTGTGTTCACTGACTCTTTTAGTATTCATTTTTTGTTCATTCAGTCAATGTATATTTACCGTCCTTTCATTCATTCAGCGTCTGTCGCTTAGGCGTTGCGAACGCGCTTCACAATGCTGAGGTGCTGGGTTATATCCCAGTTGTGGAAGATTTTTTTTGCGTTGGTTTCGACCGTAGTACCGAGAGCTGACCGTTTCGGAAAGCAACGGCAAACTACGTAGGGTGAAATTAGCCTAGAAAAACGGCAAAAATTCCCATCAGTCAACCATAAAATTGTATTGTCTGATGACTAAATCACGTTAGAAAATTGAATAATAAACAAAGGACAGATAAAAAATATAGATGAGAATAGACAGAGTGGCTCAGGGACACCGCGAAGGGGAACGTTTAGGTGTCAATAGACTGAGGGTGGCTCATGGAGACTGAAGAGTAACGTTTAGGTGCCAATAGACCGGGAGTGGCTCAAGGAGCCGGTGAATAGGAACGTTTAGGGGCCAACAGACAGAGTAACTCAGGGAGACGTAAAGGGGAACGTTTAGGTGCTAATAGACCGGAAGTGGCTCAGGGAGACGGTAAAGGGGAACGTTTAGGTGCTAATAGATTGAGAGTGGCTCAGGGAGACGCTAAAGGGGAACTTTTAGGTGCCAGTAGACCGGGACTGGCTCAGGGACAGGTGTAAACTGACATGGGGTAGCTCAGAGACACGGCAGGGAGGAACGGGCAGAGGGTGGATCAGGGATGTATTACCTGATTCACACGTTGGAAGTGAGTATCCTAGCACGCAGCCACTTAGACATTTGCCTGTTACGAAGTCGCATCGTCGCTCTGAGGAAGTACGCCTTTGTTGACAGTTTACACTGCACAGGAAGGTACAGTTGTCTCCATATAACCCGGGCTCGCATGCTGAAACAGTCTCATTTGTGTGAATTATCTAAACTCACAAGTGACATTAAACGTTACATTAAAATACTGATCTCTTTCTCATATTCACGGTTACGGTTGTTATCATTGGCATTAACTTCGTCATCTCTATGATCATACTCATTATCACCATCGTAAACATTATCTTCCTGGCAGCAGTTACAACTGTATACAGCCTTATCTCAGTCAAGATCAAACTATGAACATAATGACAATAGTTTTCTTTATTGTGATCAAATTCAATGCAATTATCAGTCATTTGTTAAATATTGAACACATTTGTTCACTCATTCGTTGAATACATATATGTTACGTGCTCATTCAGTTATTGAATATCTATTACCTGTTTACAACAAGTATATACAAGGTCCGACAATTAAGTAACGAGGCTAATTCCATAAAACATTTAAATAACAACAGTTGAAGATATAACCTGTATCTGATTCAAAGTAAACCCCTTGTGCATTTAATCAGCAAGTGGCACGATCTGACAAAAACTGGAACGACCACTGTAGTTCTTCTGTCGTTATGACCCTTAAAGTCGATGTTACGGCCCTTTGGATGCTATATGGTCAAAGAAGCGTCCTTTCAATCGTTACTTTAATTTCGGGAATAATAAATAGTCACAGGGAGACAAATCTGGGGAATAGGGTCGATGGTTTAGAACACGAACTTGTTTTTTGGCCAAAAATTTATGTACAATTACCACCCTTTGAGCTGATGCATTGTCATGAAGAAGGAAAACAAAATTCCAGATGTTGAATACAAACCAACAAGCAACTTTTTTCTGTCTAAAATCTTCCACAAAAATGTTATGAATAGTTTATATATTAACAACAAATTCATCTACCATCATCCTAGTAGTCAAATAACGATCTTCTGGTATCCGTTCTCGGAATGAGTTCCTCATTACGAATAGAAACTGGACGTTCAGATCTAGTTGCATTAGTAATAATTTCCATACCATTTTTAAATCGTGAACGCCAGCTGAAAATCTATACACGAGTTAAACAATTAACCCCATAAACTTGACGCATCAATTCAACTGTCGCAATGGCACTTTCTC